CTACCACTTTTGCCCAGGCATTTGAGTCACATTAGACCTATGCCTAGCCTGGATCTATACTGGGCAAATTATATCCTGTCTCAAGTAACTTACTTTCTCAGAGTCTGACTTAATCCTAGTTTGTTCCCCAAGAGAGGACTTCTAGAATGGAGTAGTCTTATTACCAATTTTACCATCACATGACAAAAAAAAAAAAAAAAAAAAAAAAAAAAAAAAAAAAAAAAAAAAAAAAAAAAAATAAAAAACAAACATAAAAAAAAAAAAAAAAAAAAAAAGATTTCCACCAAAAATAAAGATAATTTTTTCTATCCCTTATATATTGAGATTCCTTGTCTTTTAAGAAACTTACTTTTCTTCATTGTCCCATTCCACTGAGTATCTAATGTGCTGTAACTTTACTGCAAACTTTTATACTTAATTGTAAGAACTGATATTTCATGTCTGCCCTGTGCTAGATACGTTACTTATTTTATTTAGTGACACAGTGCTGAGGTTGAAATTCACCCTATTTTTATATTTAGATCAAAGTGATAAACTTTCCAAAGGACCCAGCTTGCAAGTATCAGAGTTGACATCTGAACTCAGGGTAACCTGCTCCAAAGTCTGTCCCCACTCCGCAAAACAGCATGCTGGAAGAGTGGCATTTTGGTTCTTCCTGTGTATTTAATTCAGTTACTCTGCAAACTACCACAGAACATTATTTTACTTTAGGTCCCTTTCCTCTCATCTCTGCTTTCTCTTTAAAGTAGCAAGTGGGGAGGGACTATGAAGAAACATTATTCTGATTTTTTTTCTTTTTTCTTTCAGGCTACATAAACTATTCTTTGTCTTTGCTGGAATAAACAATATTGTACCTGATTGAACATTTGTAATATCAGGAGACCTAACACATTATAGTTTGGCATCAGGCTAGGGAACCTCTGCCTTGAATTGGATACTATAATATTTCTCTGCTTAGGGCCACTACTATTTGCATAATAATTGCCCGGGTTATTTATGCCAGTCCCATCCAGAAACAGAATATGGTTATTTGTAAATAAATGAATACTGACCACAATTAGTTAGCATCTCAAAAAAAGCAGTAACATTCTGAATTTTTTTCTTTTTTCCTTTTTATTTTTTCCTTTGAGAAAGAGGGCCTTGCTCTCTTGCCCAGCCTGGAGTGCAGTGATGTCATCATGGCTCACTGTAGCCTCTACCTACCAGGCTCAAACAATCCTCACGCCTCATCCTCCCAAGTAGCTGGGGCGGCAGGTGAATGCCACCACACCTGGCTGATGTTTTTCTCTTTTTGTAGAGACTGAGTCTCACCAGTTACCCAACCTGGTCTTGAATTCCTGGACTCAAGCAGTCCTCCTACATCAGCCTCCCAAATTGTAGGGATCATAGGTGTGAGCTAATATGCTCAGTCCTAAACTTTTTCCTTGGCAATAGTTTTCAAAATTTTTCTATTTTTAAAATAGTAATTATTCTAAAGCAATCATCTTCCAGCCATTTTGTCAATTACCCACAATAAAGATCTGTTTTATATTGCAATCTGGTATATATTTATAAATATATGAAATTATAGATTTACAAAAACAATTACTTTTCTTACCATAACAGATATAGTCTCATATTTCATATTCAATTTCATTAAAAAATTTATTGGTTGGGACTCACCAAATACATTTTATTACCCACATGAAAAGTAGAGGATAAGCTTGATGTAATCTGTCGAAGTTGGCTTAAACCTGTCTTACTCTCTCCTCTCCTTTTTATTCAGATCGTCTTGCTTATCTATATTTCTATAACCTCATCCAAATCTCTTTTCTCTCTTTTCATTGTTCTTACCTTCATTTTTACCTTTTCTAGTCCACCAATTCAGAACTGGAACTATACTCCACCAATGCAAAACTATTTTGCTCACATTATGATTTTTTTTCACTTAGGTGAATTTAACTTTTTTGTCTCTCAAATTCCAGACAAAACTAAACTATTTCTTAAAAGAGTTGCATATGTAATTTTACCTTCCTTGTAAGTTAGCTATTTTCGTAGTAAAAGGTTTCCCACACCTATATTAATTATACTAGCAGTATTATAAAAACTATCTTAATACTTGGAAATTAAACTAATATATGTACTCTACCTTTAATACTTGGAAATTAAACTAATATATGTACTCTACCTACTTATGAATGTAACTTTCAGGATAATTAGAGGCCACAGAAGCATCCCTCAGTTCTCTATTGAGTAACTTAACTTTGTTCATGTTATTACCTCAATATCTCTCACGGCTGTTCCTTCCTCTCAGTTCTCTCTATGTTCTTACTTATTTTTCTCTTAGATTATTGTAATTAGCTCCTGGTTAATCTTCCTAAACTCTCTTAATATGTCTTTTGTCATAGTGATATTCAAAATAGAAATTGATCTGCCAGTAACTGTTGAGAGTGTTACACTGGCTTTCAGCCACCTGGGGATAGTCTAAATCGCTTGGCATGGCTTTTAAAGGCTCTTTAATGGATCTGTATCCATTCCCTCTTTGACAACTGTAGTATTGGAGGGAGGAAAGTGGGATGAAAGGCTAATGAAAGATAAATATAGCAAGCGGCTCACTGTTTCTACAATGCACCATGTACTTTAGGCTTTTTGCATGTGTTTATCTGAAAGTCCTTTTCTTTGCATTCACTTATCCGTCAAATCACATATGAGATGTTATTTGTGATTTGTTCCAGTAGTTTTCTTGGACATATCTCAGTTTATTTGTCTGCTTGCATGTGAGCCTCACCTTGTACTGGAATTGCTAGAAAGGAGAGAGGCATCTTTATTTAGGTCTCCTTAGTGTCTGGCACTGTGTGCCAGGAATATGTTAGGTGCTGCAGGTGTAGAGAACAACTAGACATATACAAGCCTTGTCCTGAACAGTGCTTTTAGATGGCAGATAAGCATGTACAATAAAATAATAGGAGAAGTGCAAGATGTTAAACACTTCCTTGTAAAAGTGGCATTTAAAATGATCGCTAAAGGATAAGTAGGAATTAACTAATTGTTGAAAACTGAGACAACAAAATAGTGTCCCATGGCTTGGTGTTCAAATGGCAAGAAATGAAGCTACAGAATGCGCAAAAGCTGTCATGAAGGGCTGTGAGAGTAAAATGACCATAGAATTTACCTCCTGGATTGCGAAGCTTTTGAGAAGGAAAAGGAAAGCTGTTAATAATACACCAGGATGACAAGCGTAAACAAAACATCCTAGGCAAACTAGAATTTATGGTGAGTTTGAACTTTATGCTAAGCCTATAGGAATTCACAGAAAGACTTTTAAATAAGAGAGGTAATTTGATCACATTTACATTTTAAAAATCATTATAGCTCTGGTGTGGAGGATGAGCTGGCAGGGAGCTATTGTAATAAACTGAAAGAACATGATGACTTTTCACAGAAGTGGGAGTAAATTTGAGGAAGGTTTAAGAAGTGAATATTGGTTCATCAGATGGGGGTGAGACAGAGGGAGGTGTAAAGGTTGATACCTGGTTTCTTTCTTATCTCAGAGAAGAGCATTACCATCCATCTGCCATGCAAAAGAGCTGTGTTGGGGAGGTCAAACTTAGACATTTTGAGTTACTGAGATGGAAATGTTCTAGTAGATAGCTAGTTGTGAATCCAGAAAAGTCTGAGTTAGAGAAAGATTTGCATTTGTGTATGTTTTCTGTTTGTATTATTTCCCCATCCTTTATACTTCTTATTGTTTCTAGGGTTTATGTTGGGAAAAAATACTTTGTTTTGCAAACTTCAGAGAATGGTAAAAACAAAATGTTATGTTTAGTTTTCCTCTTTCTTGGCTAGGAAGTAATTCTGAACCAGTGAGCAGGCGCAGTGCTGAGGGATATGCTTACCACTTGTTAAATGAACAAATGGTGGGATTATGAGTGTTTATTTTGTTCTGTGTACTTTTATGTGTTTTAAATTTTTGTCTAAGTGATTAAAAATGGAATAGTGTTTGGCCATTTGTATCTGAGTGGCTCCTATAAATGTAGTTTTCATCTGCTGGGCCTATGCTATTGGCTTTAAGGACATCTTATCTCATTTAATCCTCACAATACCTTATGGGTAGGTGATATTCTCATTTTACAGATATGGTTAAACTTAAATATGTTAAGTAGTCTTGCCACAGTTTACACTAGTGGCAGAACAGTATTTGAACCCAGATTGGTCTAACTCTGATCTACATATTCTTAATCTTTAGACTCTTAAGTTGTCTTTAGAGACTACCAAAAAAATTAAGCTGCTTTCAGTCTGTCTTCCTGTGACATTGACCATATGATGTACACATACACACTTAAGAGTAGAAGTTGGCCAAGCATAGTGGCTCACGCCTGTAATCCCAGCACTTTGGGAGGCCAAGGCTGGTAGATCACCTGAGGTCAGGAGGAGTTCGAGACCACCCTGACCAACATGGCAAAACCCCGTCTCTACTAAAAATACAAAATTATCTGGGCATGGTGGTACATGCCTGTAATCCCAGCTACTCAGGAGGCTGAGGCAGGAGAATCACTTGAACCTGGGAGGCAGAGGTTATAGTGAGCCAGGATCACACCACTGCACTTCAGCCTGGGCAACAAGAGCAAAACTCCATCTCAAAAAAAAAAAAAAAAAAAAAAAAAAAAAAAAAAAAAAAAAAAAAAAAAAAAAAAAAAAAAAGAGTAGAAATTAAACACTATCTTGTATTGGAGTAATATTTTTTCAGATTTTACATGCTTGGTATATCTTGTCAAGTTCTCAGTAACAGAGTTTGAGTGGCAGCACCTTCCTTAACAGTTGAGGCATATGTGATTAAAGAGCCAATGAAGAATCCACACAGGTGCACTGGGTTCTGAGTCTCATTATAGTATGCTCTGCCCTAGAGTACTTGAGCTGATGTTCACCAGCAGCTAAAATGACGATTATATAATGTTTACAGAAGTGGATAAGTTCCACTTAGAATCTGTTATAATGTTTAAGCTCTGTTTGCTTTATAATAGAGAACTTTCTGTACTGGACTGTGGATCGATAAAGTCAGAGACCTGTACTTCCAACTCAGCAGGTAAAATTTGACATTTTCAGAATATGCTATATTGAAGCATCTCTTTATATCTGCATTCAGGCCTAGTCAAAATGAATTCATTAGAACAAGAAGCTTTTCATTTTGTGGTCTATTAACCATATGTTTTATAGTTTGTCAATTCTCCTGTTTTAGTTGACTGGTTAGAAGATCAGATTGAGATATTTTGTTTATTTAATAAATAACCTTGTTAGGCTTTATTTATAAAAGATAGGTAATTGACCTCAGCAGTTTTTGTCATCTTATTTTGAAATTGAAATATGTATTTAAGCTTTATCACATTTTAAATCTGAGCTGCTTAAAATTTTATAGCTAATAGCTAGTCACAAGTTTAAATATCTGAATATTTCACAGGATGTAACTTAGTATGAAAGTTAATTTTACTTTGACTTTCAAGTTTTATATTTAAAATAGCTTGAGATGATCAAGAAAAATTCTTAAGTATCTGTTTAATTTTTTTATACAACATAATGGAGTTATTTTGATAGAGGAATTATTGTATAATTTGCTGAAAATTCTGCTTTATATTTGTCACATTAGACCTTAAGAGAGCCTCTGAATTCCAAGTCATTTTTTAGAACAGCCTTTGAATAACTCATTTTGTCTGTAAAGTTTCTATAGTTGAATATTATTTCTTTTCAGCAAGTGAAATAAGACATGATTCCAAAGATGCGAACACTTCCTTAGGAAAAGTTGCTAATGAGGCCTCTGAAAATGAAACACTGGGAGACTTCAGTGAACAAATAAAAGATTCAAACTTGGATGAAAAGGTAGTAGGGAATCTTTTGCATTTTTTTTTTAATTTATTGGTCTTAAATAGTGGTAATGCATAAATCCATCTTAACAGTACTATTGGGTAGCAGGTATAACTCCCTTTATTGAGTAAAAGAATCAAGTCACTCTAGCCGTGGGATGTATCCTTGATACTTGGTGTAAGCATAGTATAAACAAGGTTTTCCTTGCCTGGGAAAATGGGATGTACTGTTTAATTACATACTGTAGTTAGCTTTTTAGTATCTGAAGCTTGTCACAAACCTATGAAATTCTTTCTAAATAAAATATTACGTATTTTTCTGCCTCAGAAAACAGTGTACTGAAAATCTTGTGATCTTCCTTAATTTTCAAATAGCATAGTACCTGAGGGCCATGCTTCCTAGTATGGGATGATTTATTTGTTTTGTTTGAGGGAAGGGGAATTATGTATTTATCATTCTAATACCACGGTAGACTTCAAAATACTAACCCTTTATAAAATATGAGACTTAGTAATATTTGTTCTTAAGATATCTGGCCCCCAAATTGGGGAATTAACAAACTTTTTTTCATCTCTCTCATCTTACATTTTAGGAACATTAGAGGGTAAATAGATTGACTTACGGGACATATTCCTGGCCTGCTTCTTTTCAGCTCTTGTATATGGCTGGTTGTAAATTTTTAGAAATGCTTCCTTATTGATCTTTTACTTCCCACTATATGTATATGTATATACAAGTATGTATGTATGTATAAGTATATACATATACAGTGGGAAATAAAAGATCAATATACCAGGTGCAGTGACTCAGGCCTGTTATCCCAGCACTTTGGGAGGCAGAGGTGAGAGGATTACTTGAGGCAAGGAATTTGAGACCAGCCTGAGCAACATAGTGAGACCCTGTCTCTACAAAAAAATTTTTTTTTAATTAGCCAGGTGTGCTGGTGTCCACCTGTAGTCCCAGCTACTTGGCAGGGTGCAGGTGGGAAGATAGTTTGAACCTGGGAGGTCAGGTCTGCAGTGAGCCATGTTGGGCCACTGCACTCCAACCGGGGCAACAAAGCAAGATCCTGTCTCAAAAATAAAAGAAATGTGTGTGTATGTGTGTGTCTGTGTGTGTGTGTGTGTATGCGTGTGTGTGTGAATGATGCTTTTCCAGAGACCTTTACTTTTCTCCTGTGTATCACTTGTCAATTTTTAGGCTTACCATAGTAGTAATTACTTGATGATTCTACTTTTGGTCCCCTGATAAAGTACTAGACTACTTTTTTAAACTTTTTATTTTGAAATAGAGATTCATAGGAAGTTACAAAGGTAGTACAGAGAGGACCCATGTTGCCTTCACCTAGTTTTCTCCTATAATTACATCTTAAAATATAAGAAGCAGCAATTTAGTGATAGAATATATTTGTGAAGTTCAGTGTATTTTATCAAATATGCAGATTTATGTGACCACCACTGCAGTCAAAGAGCTGTTTCATCACCACAAAGATCTTCCTTATGCCACCTCTTCAGTCATACCTTTCTGCCTCCCCCAATAATTTCTATAAGAGGAATACTAATTGATCATTCTAAACAAACAAACAAACAAAAAAAACAGCTTTAGTTTTACTGATTTTTTTTCTTATGTTGCTTTTTTGCTTTCAGTTTCACTGAGTCTGCTCTGGTTATTTCTTATTTTTTATATACTCACTTTGGATTAATTTGTTTGTTCTTTTTGTAGTTTCTGAAAATGGCAGCCACAGTCATTGATTGGAAACCTTTATATTTTCTAATAGAAGCAGTTAGTGCTATAATTTATCCATAAATACTGTTTCAGCAGCATCCCACTTTTTGTTGAAATAATTGTGGATTCACATAGTTATAAGAAATAGTACATAGATAACTATGCACCCTTTACCTAGTTTCTCCCAATTGTAATATATTGCAAAATCATAGTACAATATCACAACTAGAATATTGACATTAATACAGTCAAGATATTACAGAACATTTCCATCACCACATTGATCCCTCATGTTGCCCTTTTATAGGGCAACCTGCTTCCTTCTCTTTTTCCTCCATCACCCATTCCTTAACTCTGGACCACTACTAATCTGTTCTGCATTTCTGTAATTCTGTCATTTCAAGAATATTATATAAATGGAATCATACAGTATGTAACCTCTTCAGATTGGTTTCTCTTTTTTTTTTCCACATGGCATAATCCTGTGAATATTCAACCAAGTCATTGCATGTATCAATAGTTCATTCATTTTTACTGTTTAGTAATACTCCGTGGTATGAATGTACCACAGTTTGTTTAGCTATTTGCTCACTGATGACTCTCTAGATTGTGTCTAGTTTGGGACTGTTACAGGATAAAGCTGCTATCTATAAACATTCATGTACAGGTTTTTGTGTAACTGTGTGTTTTTATTTTTCTGGGATAAATGGGCTGTGACTGCTGAGCTCTATAGTAGTTAATTGTTAGGTTTTAACTTGGGTGAACTCAACCTCCAGATTACTCCCCTGTGGTTGAGTCAGTGGACATGTTTGTTCAGTTCTTTGAGCCTTAGCTGGGCTGTTTGGAATCCATGTAACATACATGTAGTTCAAAGATCAGCTAGAGATTTGGGCCAAGTTATAAGTAGATTTGGGGACTTTGTCTGTTATGCTTTCTCCCAGATTCCTCACCTCACTTTCCAATTTCTGATTTTGTCCCAAACTCTGTTTTTCAGGTTCTTTGTCAGTAGGGCAAATTGTTGTCCTCCCTAAGTGGTTCCAACTATACAGCCTTTTAAGCAAGACAATTACCAAGTGGCATTCTGTTTTTCTGAGTGTAGACTTCCCTCTAGGTTCTGCCTGCTTTTCGTATCTCTACAGGGTTTTCAGGTAGTTTAAAAATATTTTATCCAAGGTTTATGGTTGTTATCTGCAGAAGAGTTAGCCCAATAGAAGAGTCTCTTCCATTTTCCAAAGTACACCCATTGTGATATTCTTTTGAATTTCATCCAGATGGTAGCATACTGTTCTTTACCTTGCTTGAGATGTTTTTCCTTTCGATGTATGTAATGATGTCTTGTTTTTGTAGTTGTGTAATTATCTACTATATGAATATACTCTAACAAGTCCCACTATTGATGGACACTTGGTTTGTTTCCATTTTTTTGCTATTTAAATATTTCTGCATTATGCATCCTTGAGCATAAGGCATTTTGCATATGTGCAAGCATTTTTGGATTAATTCCTAGAAGTGGAGTTGTCAAATTGTCCTTCATAGAGATTGCTTTGATTTATACTCTCAACAACATTGTGTGAGAGTGCCATTTTCTCCCCACACACTAATTCATTATTAATTTTTTGTCCATCTGCTTATTTTTACAAATGACTTTTAGTTTTATTATGAATTTCTTTTATGAGTCTAGTTAAACATCTTTGGAAGCCATTTACATTGTTTTCTGTGAACTTCCTATTTATGTCCTGATAGGATTCGGCTCTGTCCCTACCCGAAATCTCATCTTGAATCCACATAATCCCCATAATTCCTATATGTCAAGGGAGAGACCAGGTGGAGGTAATTGAATCATGGAGGCAGTTCCCCCCATGCTGTTTTGTGATAGTGAGTTCTCATGAAATCTGATAGTTTTATTAGTGTTTGGTATTCATTCATTCTCTCTCCTTCCTGCGACCTTGTGAAGAAACTGCCTAGCTTCCTCTTCACCTTCCACCATGACTTTTTTTTTTTTTTTTTTTTTTGAGACGAAGTTTCACTCATGTTACCCAGGCTGGAGTGCAATGGCACGATCTCGGCTCACCGCAACCTCCGCCTCCTGGGTTCAGGCAATTCTCCTGCCTCAGCCTCCTGAGTAGCTGGGATTACAGGCACGCACCACCATGCCCAGCTAATTTTTTGTATTTTTAGTAGAGATGGGGTTTCACCATGTTGACCAGGATGGTCTCGATCTCTTGACCTCGTGATCCACCCGCCTCGGCCTCCCAAAGTGCTGGGATTACAGGCTTGAGCCACCGCGCCCAGCCCCACCATGACTTTTAAGTTTCCTGTTGCCTCCCCAGCTGTGCTGAACTGCGAGTCAATTAAACCTCTTTCCTTTATAAATTACTCAGTCTTGGGCAATTCTTTATAATAGTGTGAAAATGGACTAATACATGCTCCTTTGCCCGTTGTCTTCCAGATTTTATCTTTTTTACTTGTAGGAACTTTTCATGTAATAAACATATCTGTTCCTTGTCATATATGACTGTACTTTTTTCTGAATTTCATGTTTTGACTTAGTTTAGGAGCTTTTCACCTTGTAAAAGCCCTTTATTTTATTTAATCAAATATGTCAGTTTTCTTTTATAGCAGGAGTTACAAGTCACATTTGGAGAAATCCTTCCCCATCTCAACATTTAAATTTTTCTCTCATATTTTCTTTTAGGGTTTTGTGGTGGTGTTTATTATGTTTAAATTTTTTTATTAAACTAAAATTTATCTTAGTAGAAAGAATATAGAAACAATGTAACTTTATTTTAGCAGATTGTGCTTTGTACTTTTTATTCTCTTAACATACGAGAATATTTAAAATATCTGTGATCAAACCTATTGATATCTTACTTCATGGTTTCTGTCTTTGGTGTCATGCTTAGGCTTTCCCAACCCTCCAAATTATATACTCCTTTATATATTTGATTGTTTTGCTATTTTATTTTCTTTTGCTACTTTTAGAATTTATTTTTAATTTAATGATCCTAAAAGGTATTTTGGCATATGGTGAGTTGGGAGTACACTTATTTTCCATCCAGTTAACTAGCCAGTTCTTCCATTTGTTAAATCATTTCCTCATAAGTTTCAAGTGCCATATCTAATGTTTTCAAAATTTTATGTATAGATCTGTTTCTTCTCTTTTGTTTCATTGATTTCTAGTCCTTGCACCAATAGCATACTGTCAATTATTTGGAAAATAGTAAGGAAGAAATAATAGGAAGGCTTGCTTTTAAAGATACTAAGATGTATTATAAATCTAAAATATTTTTTGGTGGTTCTCTCTCATGTATTTTTTTAAAGAGTGCTTTAAACTCCCATTGTAGTTTTTTATGTAAATTAATTTGGGGAGAATTAACATCTTTAACTCGAGTATTCTTATCAAGGAACATGGTAGATCCTTCAGTTTGTTATGTTTTATGTTTCTCAGTTGATTTTTGTAGTTCCCGAAGAGTTCTAGGTTGACTTCCAAGGCTTTTATAGTTTTGGGTTTTGCATTTAAGTATTTAATCAACCTTGAGCTGGTTTTTGTATATGCTGTAAGGAAGGGGTCCAGTTTCCGTCTTCTGCATGTGGCTAGCCAGTTACCCAGCACCATTTATTGAATAGAAAGTCCTTTCCCCATTGCTTTTGTCAGCTTTGTTGAAGATCAGATGGTTATAGGTGTGCAGCTTTATTCCTGGGCTGTGTATTATTTCTATTGGTCTATGTATCTGTTTTTGTACCAGTACCATGCAATTTTGGTTATCGTAGTCCTGTAATGTAGTTTGAAGTCAGTAACATCATGCCTCCAGCTTTGTTCTTTTTGCTTAGGATTGCCTTGTCTATTTGAGTTCTTTTTGGTTTCACATAAATTTTAAAATAGTTTTTCTAGTTCCGTGAAGAATATCATTGGTAGCTTGATAGGAATAACATTAAATCCATAAATTGCTTTGGGCAATATGCCCAATTTAATGATATTCCTTCTTCCTATCCATGATCATGGAATGTTTTTCCACTTGTTGATGTCATCTCTGATTTCTTTGAGCAGTGTTTTGTAATTCTCATCATAGAGATCTTTCACTTCTCTGGTTAGCTGTATTCCTAGGTATTTTATTCTTTTAGTGGATGCCTGTTTTTTCAAAAGTTTAATATTTGAACATGTGTAACCTTATGAATAGAAAATCACTATTTCCAAACAACTACTTGTGAAATATAAGTATAGTTATGTTTAAAACACATTTAAATATTTCTTATAAAAGATAAATTTTATGTTCATAAATACCACTTAAAAATAGCTCAAAGCTCAAGATTTTTTTCTGAATAAAAAGAAACTCAACTTTAGTTTTCCCTAATAATTTGAAATAGTGACTTGTGTAATTAAAAGTGATATCAAAAACTGGACAAATATTTTGGCTATTCAATTTTTCTCTTAAGCAGCAGTGGAAATTTTTAAGTCAGTATTCAGTATTTTAAATTATGTAGAATATAATTGTTTTTAAGGATTGGCCATAAACTAGTTGTTTAATTAACATCTAATACATTATAATAAATCCAGTAAGCCTCATAGCTTAATATGTATTACACAGACATTCACTTGTACTTATTTAACCATAATCTCTTCACAGCATAGATTTACAAACAAAGTGATTACGAAAGAAGAAAAAGAAAACATTTATGAAGTGTGCAAAAGGTCTGTAACATAATTTTTAATTACATAACTTAAAATAGTCACTCATCTAATTTGCATCTTGAGTATGTTTTTTATTCTCTGCTGTGTATATGCTTGGGCTATATGCCATAAGCCATATATAGGTATCATTTAATTAATGTGTCAGGTGTACTCAGGTGTAAGGGATGTTTTAAGTTACCGTAAAGCTGTCACTAAGTTTTTTGAGCCATTAAAATATTTTGTTGAGGAAAGATAAGGAGTAGTGATAAAAAGAAAAAATGATGTGTGTTTCACTTTTATAAAGATAAAGGTGGCTGAAATCAGATTCACATTGCACTTTACAAGGATCTTACATGGATGCAGTGATTCATAATGAGAGTTATAGTACACTCGCTGGAACATATAAAACCACCACATTTAGTTGGAGATCATCTGATCCATCTTAGAAATCATCTGATCCATCCTCCACCACCCTCATTTTGCATTTGAGGCAAGGCTTACCCAGGGCAGGTGATGGATATATTTGAGTTCTTTAATGTTAAGGCACTAATTTTCAAAGTGTGATCCTTGGAAAAGCAGCATCATGTAGGAACTTGTCAGAAATGGAAATTAATAGGTCTCATCTCAGACCTACTGAATCAAACTTTGGAGATGGGCCTATCAATCTGTTTTTAACAAGGCCACCAGCTGATTTTGATGCATGCTCAAGTTTGAGGACTACTGTGTTAAGGCGAAGGCTAGACAACAGTTAGATTGTTGCCACAGAAGTTTCATTATGGTTCATGACCATTTGGAGATACTAAAGAAAACGCAAGAGTAACAAGGTTAACTATTTTTTTTTTTCTGTTGAAAGCATTTTGCTTACAAACTAAGATAATGTAATTGCAGCCTGCAAAGGTTTATCAACTTGACTCTATCATAGCAGTCACCAATGTGACATTGATTGGTTAAGTCATTACATCTTGGGCTTCAATCATATGATCAAAAATAAAAGATAATCTCTTCCATCTATAAAAATTCATAATTTCTGTTTCTTTGTTTATGTTGCCGCTTTTGTTTTATTTGGCGGGGACATAGGGATTATACATATCAATGACATCCCAAGTTGGGGAGAGAAGTGAATATCTTTATTTTGTATGGAAATCTTAAATTCTATTAATGATACTAAATTTCAGCTCTTGTAAGTATGGGTCCTTCTTCTTACTAATTTTACTGTCCTCTGGCCCAGAAAACCCAAGCTGATAGAACTTATTAGAATTATTTTTAAGGCAAAAGATCATAGTATCTGAATGTTGGTGTAAACCTTTCTCCTAAAAAGTAAATGCATTTGTATTTACTAGTCTTCTCTGAAATAACTTCTTTCCCTCACCTTGCTTAAGTTATTTTTCTACATAAGTAGCGTCCAAATTATTTTTTTGTAAAATTGGTTATTTAGGATTTTGCATATTAGAATATAGTTTAAGCTGTTTAAATCAGCCACCCTGGAACAATAATATTTTTAACACCTTTTCCCCAGGAAAGCTCTCAGAGACCTTTATAGGTTTATTGTATATACTTTTCCTGAAGAATAACTTATAATTTGTTTAATTGCAGTATCAGTAGAATAATTGAATGACCTCTTCTGGATTAGAAACTAGCCTGACTTTTCCTTTTGGCATGGTCAAAAATATTTTGCTCCTTCTACCCCATTCCTTCCTTTACTCCAGCCACTTAAGAAATTTTGGTTTTCTAATTAAGAAGCCAGGAACAACCTATTGGAAATATTGAAGAATTGTAATATATGCAGGTATACCTTGTAGATATTGCAGGTTTAAGTTCAGACTATCACTGTAAAGCAAATATTGCAATAAAATGAGTCATACAATTTTTTTTTGTTTCCCAGTGTGTATAAAAGTTATGCTTACACTACATTAAGTTTGCAATAGCATTATGTCTTTTTTAAATGTACATACCTTCATTTTAAAATATTTTATTGCCAAAAAAATGATTATATCATCTTAGCCCTAAGTGAGTCATAATCTCACCTGGATGTTGATGGCTGCTTACTGAATAGGGTGGTTGAAGATTGGGGTGAAGGTTGAAGGTTGAGGTAATTGTAGCAATTTCTTAAAATAAGACAACAGTGAAGTTTGCTACATCAATTGACACTTCTTTTCACAAAAGATTTCTCTGTAGCATGTGATACTATTTGACAGCATTTTACAGACAGTAGAACAACTTTCAAAATCAGAGTCAATCCTCTCAAACCCTACCTCTGCTTTATCAACTAGTTTGATATTCTGAGTCTTTTGTCACTTAAACAATATTCATGGCTTCTTCATCAGGAGTAGATTTCATCTCAAAATATCACTTTCTTGGCCAGCCTGACCAACATGAAGAAACCCTTTCTCTACTAAAAATAAAAAAATATCCTGCCCTGGTGGCGCATGCCTGTAATCCCAGCTACTTGGGAGGCTGGGGCAGGAGAATTGCTTGAACTGGGAGGTGGAGGTTGCAGTGAGCTGAGTTCACACTATTGCACTCCAGCCTGGGCAACAAGAGCAAAACTACATCTCAAAAAAAGAAAGAAAGAAAGAAACTTTTCTTTCCTCATGCATAAGAAGCAGCTCTTCATCTGTTCAAGTTTTATCATGAGATTGCAGCAATTCAGCTACAACTTTAGGCTCCACTTCTAGTTCTAGTTGTCTTGCCATGTCTTCCACATTTGCAGTGACTTCCACCACTAAAGTAACCCCTGAAAGTCATCTATGAGGGTTGAAATCAACTTCCTCCAGACTGTTAATGTTGATATGTTGACCTCCTATAAATCACAAATGTTTTTAATGGCATCTAAAATTGTGGATTCTTTCTAGAATGTTTTCAATTTACTTTCCCAGATCCATCAGAGAAATCACTGTCTGTGGCAGACAGAGCCCAATGAGATGTGTTTCTTAAATAATAAGGCTTAAAAGTCAAAACTACTTCTTGATTCATAGATTGCAGAATAGATGTATTAGCAGGCATTAAAAACAACATTTATCTCCTTGAACATGTCCAGCAGAGTTCTTAGGTGACAAAATACATTGTCAATGAGCAGTAGTATTTTGAAAGGAATCTTTTTGAGCAATAGGTCTCAACAGTAGCCTTAAAATATTCAGTAAACCATGCTTTAAACAGATGTGCTGTCATGCAGGCTTTGATGTTTCATTTATGGAGCACAGACAGAATAGATTTAGCATAATTCTTAAGAGCCCTAGGATTTTTGAAATGGTTAAAGTTGCCAGCTGCATTATCCTCTAACAAGAGGGCCAGTCTATTCTTTGAATCTTTGAAGCAAGGCATTAACTTTTCTCTAGCTATGAAAGTCCTAGATGGCATCTTCTTCCAGTATAAGGCAGTTTTGTCTACATTAAAAATCAGTTTGGCGTAGCTTCCTTTATCAGTTATTCTAGCCAGATCTTCCAGATAACTTGCTGCAACTTTTCTATTAGCACTTCCTGTCTGACCTTGCACTTCTATGTTACAGAGATGGCTTGTTTCATTAAACCTTGTGAACCAATTCTGCTAGCTTCAAACTTTCTTCTGTAGCTTTCTTATCTCTCTCAGTCCTCACAGAATTGAAGAGTTAGGGCCTTGCTCTGTATTAGGCTTTGGCTTAAGGGAATGTTGTGACTGGTTTGATCTTCCATCTAGATCACTCAAACTTTCTCCATTTCTGCCATAAGGCTGTTTCACTTTCTTTTCATTTGTATGTTCACTGGAGTAGCACTTTTAATTTCCTTGAAGAACTTTTCCTTTGCATTGACAGCTTGGTTAACTATTTGGTACGAGGCCTACCTTTTGGCCTATCTTATCCGTCAACATGCCTTCCTCACTAAGCTTAATCATTTCTAGCTTTTGATTTAAAGTGAGAGATGTGAGACTCCTTCTTTCACTTGACTACTTAGAGGACATTGTAGGGTCATTAACTGTCTAATTTCAGTATTGTTTTGTCTCAAGAAATAGGGAGGCCTAAGGAGAGGGAGAAAGATACGGGGAACAGCCAGTTGGTGGAGCGGTCAGAACACATACATCATTCATTGATTAAGTGCACGCTCTTATAAGGGCTTAGTTTTCATGATGCCCCAAAACAATATCAGTAGTAATGTTGTTATGGGTTCACAGATCACCATAACAGATAAAATAATAATGAAAAAATTTGAAATATTGTGAGAATTACCAAAATGTGACACAGAGACGTAAGTGAGCATATGCTGTTTAAAAATGGCACCAATTAGACTTTTCAGCTCAGGGTTGAAATAAAAAATAAATAAAAATTTTAAATAAGAAAAATATCTGCAAAACATTACTTTAATGTGTAAAAATGCATTTAAATTCTGATGTTAGTATTTTTGTTCACACAGCAAAGATTCTAGAAATGCAGACATTATGGTTGGTGAATGCCAGTTTGCAGCACCAGTCCCAAAACCTCTGTGCTTATTAGTACCTCCTTTGAATCTAAGTGGTCATCAAGAAGAAACAATACTGAATACCTGGATGAATGGTACTATTGGTTTTCTTAATGAAATCCTGTTAGCTTCTGGTAATATAGAAACTAGGAGTTTTTTTTAAAAAAAAAAAAAAAAAAAGATTAAGAAAAATGGAAACATATAGAATATGTTAAAATTAGAAGATTTGTGCACCTTTACTTAGTTTTTTTTGTTGTTGGTTTTTTTTTTTTTGAGCCGGAGTCTCACACTATCTCCCAGGTTTGAGTGCAGTGGCACAATCTCAGCTCACTGCAACCTCCGCCTCCTGGGTTCAAGCGATTCTCCCGCGTCACCTTCCCAAGTAGCTGAGATTATAGGTGCCCACTACCACGCCTGGCTAATTTTTTCTATCTTTAGTAGAGACAGGATTCCACTATGTTGGCTAGACTGGTCTTGAACTGCTGACCTCGTGATCCAACTGCCTTGCCCTCACAAAGTGCTGAGATTACCAGTGTGAACCACTGCACCTGGCCTACTTAGTACTTTTGGTAGAACAATGTGTGAAATGCCTGTATTTATGTGATAGTGGTAGTCCAAATAAATTACAGATTATATTTAAAATACATTTTGATGGAGTGTATTTGTATATGTATTTTAGAAATTGTGTCAGTTTTTTGATAATTAACAATACTTTGAACAAAGTAAACTACATTAAAGGATGAATTTAGAATCTATAAAATCATGTTGTATAGCATGCACCTAACTTTTCTGTACCTACCCAGTACTTACTTCATGCTGCCTCGTGTTGTGTACTATAACAGCAAGCCCACGATGGTCATGTGTTTTATCTTAAAAAGTCTTACAGTTTTCATAATGCAAATTACTGCAAAGCTGTGCAGCAAAAACTTCAGCTTGTTTAAGATTGTAGCTGGATGCTGCCAAAGTAAAAAATAAATGATTTAAAATTAAAAATACTTTTATATTTATTTGTTATCTTTAGAAAAGAACATTTTTAAATGCCCTAGTTATCTTTTTAAAAGACCAACATTAAAGGATATGATGCCTGGTGTATTAGTCTGCTTGGGCTGCCATAACAAAATGCCACAGATTAAAGGGCTCAAACAACAGAAATGTATTTTGCACAGTGCTAGAAGTTTAAGACTAAGGTTCTAGAAGGGTTCATTTTCAGATGCGGGCTCTGTTTCTGGCTTGCAGATGGCTACCTTCTTGCTAAGCCCTCACATAACTTTTCCTTGGTGTGTTCTTGGAAAGAGTATAACCTCTGTGGTGCCTATTCTTTTTTTTCTTTTCTTTTTTTTTTTTTTTTTTTTTTTTTTTTTTTTTTTTTTGAGACAGAGTCTTGCTCTGTAACCCACACTGGAGTGCAGTGGCACAATCTCAGTTTACTGCAACCTCCGCCTCCTGGGTTCAAGCAACTCCCCTGCTTCAGCCTCCCAGGTAGCTGGGATTACAGGCACATACTACCATACCCAGCTAATTTTTGTATTTTTAGTAGAAACGGGGTTTCACCATGTTGGCCAGGCTCATCTCAAACTCCTGACCTCAGGCAGTCTACCCACCAGGCTGCCCAAAGTGCTGAGATTACAGGCATGAACCGCCATGCCAGGCCAGTACCTATTCTTATAAGGACATTAATTCTGTTGACTCAGGACTCCACCTTTATGACCTCATTTAACCTTATTAACTTCTATAAAGATCCTATCTCCAAATATAGTCATATTGAGGGTTAGGGCTTCAACATGTGAATTTTGTGAGGACACAGTTCAGTCCATTGCACCTGGATTTGTCACTACTTTTCTTCTCTTAAAAATGTTTATTATGTATAATACTTGTATGTTTTAGTTAGAGACATATCATTTGAATGCAGTGCCCAATGCTGCTATGTGAGGTCTTTAAGAAAGTTGTCTGCAGCTTATAGTGAGTTTAAAATTTTAAATTCAGGTCTAGAAATACTTGAGAGTACCTAAGATGTAAATCATACTGTATTTCACAGGAACACACATGGCAGCACAGTCTGTGAATTGAACATGAATATTCCAAAGTGAAACTTTAAAGCAGATAGTAGTGATCATCTATTTCATTGTTATGAAGAGACTAAGTTATAACATATTGGTGTGTAATGTCACTCTAAATCATTTCTAGATTTCAGATTTTTGGGAAAACATTCTGTCCTAAAGCTGCAGAATCCTGCAACTTGTGAAATAGTTAAGAGGGAAAAAAATGTGGGGGTAAGTCTACTTTAAAAAATCATCTGTTTCTTTCTCTTCCCCCTCCTCCTCCTTCTCTTCCCTCCTCTTCCTCACCTACCTTCACTCCTTCCCTTACCTCCCCTTAAAAAAAAATCACCTCATAAAACCAATATTCTGGACCTTCTGATTATATTTCCTTGAGTATCATCATTTTTTAAGCCGTTCCAGATATTATATGGATTTTGAATATAGGTTGGTGGTAAGAGGTAAGTAGTGACTTAGAGGATAATCACAAATAGCATAAGAGGTTGAAAACAGCAGAGGGAGCCAGGCTTGGTGGCTCATACCTGTAATCCCAGCACTTTGGGAGGCCAAGGCAGGTGGATCACAAGGTCAGGCATTCAAGACTAGCCTGGTCAAGATGGTGAAACCCCTGTCTCTACTAAAAATACAATAATTAGCCAGGCATGGCGGCAGGCGCCTGTAATCCCAGTTACTCAGGAGGCTGAGGCAGATAATTGCTTGAACCCAGGAGGCGGATGTTGCAGTGAGCCAAGATCGTGCCACTGCACTCCAGCATGGGCAACAGAGTAAGACTCCCTCTCAAAAAAAAAAAAAAGAAAAGAAAACATCAGGGGGAGAACATCCAAAACAGAAAATACAGGATGAATAGTTTCCTGTGATGAAAGAGAAAGCTGCTGTTACAAAGCAGTTCTATGGGGAAAGTTTGTTGTAAGCAGCTTTGACTCTGTCATTTGCCTTTTTCTATTAATCAGAAAAACTAAGAATTTTGGTTCTAATGTATCTGAAATATAGTGCATATTATAATAGAATTAACTTTTTGTAAAAGCAGAAGCAGTTGCATGAAAGGGTGGAGGAATGTGTACATTTTTTGAAATACGTAAAGTTTGCGGGGGCAGGTAGTCCATAGGATATCTCTGTTCCTTAATTTTTCTGTGAACCTAAAGCTGCTCTAAAAAAATAGTCTTAAAGATGAGACACAAAAGAGAATAACCTTGATGGAATATTTTACATAAAGATGAATTTTTTAAAATCCAGACAAATCACTCTGAATTGATTTTTTATTATTTTTGAAAATATAAATTGTTTGAAGTTTTATTTTTTGTTATCAAATTATCAAATAAGTTATCTTGATACTCTTTGGAATATATGTTATTTGTGTTGCTTCAAATGCTATCTTGCTTGACTATAGTAAGTGTTTTACAGTTAATACAGAAAGGGAATCTTTCTAATTTTCTAGGTGTTCCAGAAGTCCCTGGGGTTGATGATACCCTATAAATATTGCAAATTTCATTTTAATACGTTACGTGGCTGTGAGCGTCCACTGTGCAAGTTTGTTCATGTGCCTGAACAAGGGGATGAAAAGGTAAAACACATAAAGTCTTTAAAGTAGAGATTGTTTTAATAACTATCTCAGTCACACATTTTAATTTAGATTTTCATTGACTTCTAATAGCATAGATGGGAGTTTTGTCTGCTTTTGTTCTTTATGTAAATGGAATCATAGGTGTATTTTTTTTTGTCTGTCTTGTTTTGCTCAATATTTTTGAGCAAACACCTATTTTAGATGTTTCTCATTGTTATATAATAGTTAATATTCCATTTTGTGAGTATATCAAAATGGAATATCGGGTAGAGCAGATTTGGATATTTCAATTATAATACTGTCAGTGTCTACAGGTCTTTTGGAGAACATATGTATACATTCTGATAGGTTATACTTAAAACTGGAACTGCTGTGTCATAGGGTCTGCGTATATTCAGCCTTAGTAGGTAACAGCCAAACAGGTTTCCGGAGGGGTTTTACCAAATTGCACTCTCACCAGCAATGTCTGAGAGTTCTGGTTGTTTCATATGCTACCCAGCTCTCGATATTATTAGCCTTTTGCATTTAGCCATTCTGGTGGGGGTAGTGATAGTTCCCCTGATGATTGATGAAATTGAGCGCTTTTCAAAATGTTTATTGGGCATTAGTGGGATATGCTCTTTTTGGAAGTATACAGATATTTTCTCTATATTCTATGGGATTCTTCTCTGTCTACAATAACTCATATAATCTGTATACAAGTTCTTGGTTGTGTGTGTGTATGTATATATATATATCTATCTATATAAAATCATTTACTACATTAGAAGTTGCCTTTACACCTTTTTAATTTTGTTTTTTAATTTTCATTTTTAAATTATAAATTGAAAATGATATGGGGTGCAGTGTGATGTTTTGATTTATGAATATGGTATGGAATAATTAAATCAAGCTAATGGCATATCTGTCACATAAGATACTATCATTTTTTTGTGGTGAGAATATTTGAAATTTACTCTTAGCAATTATGAAGTGTACATTATTATTTGCTGTAGTCACCACACCATTAATAGATATCAAAGAAAAAAACAATTTTCTTCCTGTCTAATTGAGATTTTGTACGCTTTGATCATCATCTCCCCATTCCCCTAACCACCCCTCACCCTTGTCCTCATTTAACCGCTGTTCTACTCTCTGCTTCTTTGAGTTTCCTTATTTTATATTCCATACATAAGTGAGAACATATATGGCATTTGTCTTTCTGTACTTGGCTTATTTCACTTAGCATGTTCTCCAGTCTATCCATGTTATAGCAACAAAACTTCTTTCTTTTTTTGAGGCTGAATAAGTATTTCACTGTGTATATGTACCACATTTTCTTAATGCATTTATCCATTGATGGACACTTAGGTTGATTCCATACCTTGGCTATTGTGAGTAGTGCTGCAATGAACATGGAATTGCAGACATCTCTTCAACATACTGATTTCAAATCTTTTGGGTAAATACCAAGAAGTGAGATTGCTGGATCATATGGTGATTCTATTTTTAGTTTGAGGAGTGACCATACAGTTTTCCATAACAACTATATTAATTTACATCACCACCAGCAGTATACAAAGATATCCTTTTCTCCGCATCTTCGCCAGCACTTGTTATCATTTGTCTTTTTGATAATTGTTATTCTGACAGATGTCAGGTGATAGCTCACTGAGGTTTATAATTTGCATTTTTCTAATTAGTGAATGTTGAGCCTTTTTTGTACATTTATTAGCCATTTGTATGTCTTCTTTTGAGGAATGTTTGTTCAGCTCCCTTGCCCATTTTCAAACTGGATTACTTGTATTCTTTCTATAAAGTTATTTGAATTCCTTATATATTTTGGATACTAACCCCTTATCAAATATATGGCTTACAAATATTTTTTCCCAGTCTATAGATTGTCAAAACTTAATCAAATCAACAACTATCCTCTAATGAGGGCCTTACCGCCAGATTGTGCCTAGATAAGGCAAACACCTAGCTATAGCCAATCAAGTAATTTCTCTACTTTGCTTCCACATTCAGTCTATCAGAAAGCCCACTGTTTACACTGTTAAAATGGAACTCTCTGAACCTCTCTAGTTTGGGGTGCTTCCCCATTCGTGAATCTTTTAATGCTCAAATAAACTCTTACATTTATATTTTCTGAAGTGTTTCTTTTAACAGAAGTCAAAACAAAGTTCGCAGGGACACACTGAGGTCTTTCTGTGATAAGGCTTAAAAGATTACGTGATTGTAAAAGGCTGTATGCTAGAAGACCTCAGCTAAAATAAGAACTCTCTAATACAGCAAGAGCCAGGGTTTCTTATATCTTCTTTTTGTTTTCAGTCTCTTTCCTCTTTACATTGTATCCTCTACTCTGCATTCAGAATTATCTTCCTAAAATATGGAATTAATCTGATCGATAATAAAAAAAAAATACCTCCCTTCAGTATACAAAATAAATTCAAATTCTTTAGTTTGGCATTCAACAACTTACAATCATGTGTCAGTATATTTGTCAAATTTGAGTTCTCACTGATGTACCACCCGCCATGCTCCAGTCACACCATCCTTTTCATCCTTTAAAACCCAGCTCAAAGCCACAATAATATGTGGCAAGAAAAGACTATGCACTAAGACCACTAAGATAAATAAGATAGGTCCCAGCTATCAAGAACCACATTTGGCAGAGAGACACACAAGCAAACAAATCAATGTTATTTAATATAAAGGATGTGGTATAAAATACAAGCAGAATACAGATAGGCAACAAGATCAGAAAAAAATAAAAAGATATTCATGGGTGAAAGAATAATAGTCAACACTTACCATATAGGCCAGATTCTGTTTCAAATGCTTTACGTATATTAATGGCTTAATCCCCATTTTCTTTGATGATGAAAATGAGAGACAAAAAGAGTTTAATAAAAAGAAGCATAATAATAACTACCATTTATTGAATATTTACAACATACCAGGCACTGTGCTAAGCACTGAAAAGGAACAAAATGGAAGTAAAGCCTTCAAATTTTTTTTTTTATTATACTTTAAATTCTGGGGTACATGTGCAGAACATGCAGGTTTGTTAACATAGATATACACGTGCCATGGTGGTTGTCTGGATCCATCACCTCGTCATCTACATTAGGTGTTTCTCCTAATGCTAACCCCAACCACCGACAGTCCCTGGTGTGTGACGTTCCCCTCCCTGTGACCATGTGTTCTCCTTGCTCAACTCTCACTTATGGGTGAGAACATGCAGTGTTTGGTTTTCTGTTCTTGTGTTAGTTTGCTGAGAATGATGGTTTCTAGCTTCATCCATGTCCCTGCAAAGGACATGAACTCATCTTTTTTTATGGCTGCATAGTATTCCATGGCATATATGTGCCACATTTTCTTTATCCAGCCTATCATTGATGGACATTTGGGTTGGTTCCAAGTCTTTGCTCTTGTTAACAGTGCTGCAATAAACATACGTGTGCATGTGTCTTTATAATAGAATGATTTATAATCCTTTGAGTGTATACCCAGTAATGGGATTGCTGGGTCAAATGGTATTTCTGGTTCTAGATCCTTGAGGAATTGCCACACTGTCTTCCACAATGGTTGAACTAATTTACACTTCCACCAACAGTGTAAAAGCATTCCTATTTCTCCACATCCTCTCCAGCATCTGTTTTTTCCTGACTTTTTAATGATTGCCATTCTAACTGGCATGAGATGGTTTCTCTATATAGTTTTGATTTGCATTTCTCTAATGACCAATGATGATGAGCTTTTTTTCATATGTTTGTTGGCTGCATAAATGTCTTCTTTTGAGAAGTGTCTGTTCATATCATTTGCCCACTTTTTGATGGGATTGTTTTTTTCCTGTAAATTTGTTTAAGTTCTTTGTAGATTCCACATATTAGCCCTTTGTCAGATGGGTAGACTGCAAACATTTTCTCCCATTCTGTAGGTTGCCTGTTCATTCTGATGATAGTTTCTTTTGCTGTGCAGAAGTTCTTTAGTTTAATTAAATCCCATTTGTCTATTTTGGATTTTGTTGTCATTGCTTTTGATGTTTTAGCCATGAAGTCCTTGCCCATGCCTATGTACTAAATGGTATTGCCTAGGTTTACTTCTAGGGTTTTTATGGTTTTAGGTCTTACATTTAAATCTTTAATCTGTTTTGAGTTAATTTTTGTATAAGGTGTAGGGAAGGGGTCCAGTTTCAGCTTTCTGCATATGGCTAGCCAGTTTTCCCACCATTTATTAAATAGGGAATCCTTTCCCCATTGCTTGTTTTTGTTAGGTTTGTCAAAGATCAGGTGGTTGTAGATGTGGGGCATGATTTCCGAGGCCTCTGTTGTGTTCCATTGGTCTTCATCTCTGTTTTGGTACCAATACCATGCTGTTTTGATTACTGTAGCCTTGTAGTATAGTTTGAAGTCAGGTGGCATGATGATGCCTCCAACTTTGTTTTTGTTTTTTTGTTTTGTTTTGTTTTTTTGTTTTTTTTTGCTTAGAATTGTTTTGGCTATGCAGGCTCTTTTTTGGTTCCATATGAAATTTGAGGCGTTTTTTTTTTCCAATTCTGTGAAGAAAATCAGTGGTAGTTTTTTTCCAATTCTGTGAAGAAAATCAGTGCTATCAGATGGGGATAGCATCGAATCTATAGATTATTTTGCGCAGTATGGCCATTTTCACGATATTGATTCTTCCTAACCATGAGCATGGAATATTTTTCCATCTGTTTGTGTCCTCTCTTACTTCCTTGAGCAGTGATTTGTAGTTCTCCTTGAAGAGGTCCTTCACATCCCTTGTTAGTTGTATTCCTAGGTATTTAATTCCCTTGTTAGTTGTATCCCTAGGTTTTTAATTCTCTTCTCTTTGTGAATGGGAGTTCACGCATGATTTGGCTGTTTGTCTGTTATTGGTGTATAGTAATAGTTGTGATTTTTGCAATTGATTTTGTATTCTGAGACTTTGCTGAACCTGCTTATCAGCTTAAGGAGATTTGGGGCTGAGACCATGGGATCTTCTAAATATAGAAT